ATGCACTCGCCCAGCACTTTTGCAGAACCAGGCCTCCGCTCGAGCTCCCAACCCTACGCTCGAGCGGCACTCAGACAACCCCGCTCGAGCGGCCAATACCACGCTCGAGCGTACAACGCTGCACAGGAAAATACTGAATGGGTGTAATCTACGCTCGAGCGCCAACACCTCCGCTCGAGCGTACAGGCCAAAAATCTGGGCAACTAGTTTTGGTTTCTAAACTCAACCAACCTGTAACAAACCCGCCCAACACATCCTATAACTCAAATACAAAGTAAGAAAGGATGTAAACAAGATAATGATCAACTACCAACATCCACGGACACATGTTCGGATCACTATACAGCAAGGGTAAATCCGGGATCGCTATATGTATTATGGGCTTATTTTTATGATCTGAACTGTTCATTTTGTAGAGTTTGTTGAGTATTTCATGCCTGCCAAAAATCATATTAATTGGATATCAATAACTATATGATCGATAACCAAAAAAAATAAACAATAAGTTCTTCTTTTGAGAAATAGTATAAAAAATATGCAATTCGATCATATAGTTATTAATATCCGATTAATATTATTTTTGGTAGGCATGAAGTACTTAACAAACCTTACAAAATAAATGGTTCAGATCATAAAAATAAGCTCATAATACACCTCAAATTGAGGCACAACAATCACTGCAGTGACCCCATTTCCCAATTTTTCACCACTTCTATGTCTTTTCTTTTCTCCACAAAACTTCTTTTTATAACCATAGAAAAAACTAGCCATTGCAAAGAGATTCTAGGCAGGCTCCTCTTTCCTTATGTTTTTCTTTCATCTGAATTTATTAGCCTTTTGGGCTTGCATCATTCTTGCTAAGAAACATTTCAAATCAATCAAATGAAGTAAATGAATAAGAAAAGATATGGAAATGATTTGAATTTTTTTATATATATATTAAATTAAAGTATTCAAAAGATGCACAATAAATTTAGTTATTTTTAAATCGGTGCAATCTATATCACAATGAGAAATTTTATTTTCATATTGTGTCAAATGATTGTAAAAACTATAAATTAAAAAATCACAATTTATCTCATAATATTTTAAATATCATCAAAATCAAACCATTAAATGAACATAAGCATTTTTGTTTATCCACATTGAAAAAGATGACCATTATGAAAATAATTTATTTACTAAAGTGAGGTACTTTGTTTTAAATTGTGCTTGACGCGCTTTCATATTATTAAAAACATCAATGCTATAATCAATTTGAAAATCTTGCATAATTTCTTCCTCAATGAATGTGATTAAATAACTAGTTAATATCTTATTTTATTATTTGGAAATAGGATTTTTTTATCAATGGTAGCTATAAAAAAAATTATTAATTTTAGGGAGATTTACGTGTAGGTCCTAATAGATGGACTTATTATCTAATAAATTCTATGACAATTAATGACATTTTTCATCAAACACTACTAAAAAATGTTACTAATTGTTGATTTTTAGTGACAATTTGAAAATTTTATCACAAAAAAATGTCATTAATTATAAGTTTTAGAGACAGTCTAAAAAAATTATTACAAAAAAAGTCATTAATTTTTAACTTTCAGTGACAATTTAAAAAATTCATCACAGAAAAACGTCACTAATTATAAGTATTAGCGATAATTTATAAAAATCGTGACAAAAAAGGTCATTAATTGACAATTTTATTAGGACCTATTTTCAATAGAATTTGATGTGAATTAAATCTAACTATTAGGACCTATTGGTAGTTTACCCTTAATTTTATTATATTTTGTCTAAATTTTTTAATTTTACACTTTATCCAATGTTTTATTGATATAGAGGAGCAACCATTTAAATTTTTAAAAATAGAGGATGACCACTTAAAATTTGAAAAAAAAAAAATACTTAGAAAAGGCGAAATTCTATAAGGAAAATGTTTAGAAACTCTAGAGGAAGAGCTCTAGAGAGGGCTCTAATGGTGGGTCCCACCATGTCATTTGATGTTTTGACTTGTAATTTTTTTTTTTTTTTTTTTACTTTATCACATCACTAAAGTTCATATTAAAGCTCTAGTTTTAGAGTTCTTAAACACTTCTCTTTTTATAATTTCAAGATAATTATAATTAATAGTGCTATAATAATGGAGGTTTTTGAAATCGTAAGGGAGGCGATTGCCCCCTCTTACGCCCCTCTTGGTCCATCTTGATATCATGCCATTATTTTGTTGTGGTGAGCCAAATTATTAAAATTTTAAGAAAAATGGTAGGTATTGTTTTAACTCTAGTTTTAGAGTTCTTAATCACTTCTCCTTTTATAATTTCAAGATAATTATAATTAATAGTGCTATAATAATGGGGTTTTTGAAATCGTAAGGGAGGCGATTGCCCCCTCTTACGCCCCTCTTGGTCCATCTTGATATCATGCCATTATTTTGTTGTGGTGAGCCAAATTATTAAAATTTTAAGAAAAATGGTAGGTATTGTTTTAAATTAAATTAATAACAAATTGAAATGTTCCTAAAACTTCTCGTGGGTTAATAATTGTTTTGAATTAATAATAATTTGTTCTTATTAGTCGGACACATGTTGATGAAATAACAGGTCCATCATCCATGGAATACCTTCTTCTGAGTTAGGTTTTCAAGTTAGAAAATGAAGACCAGGTAATTTGTCTTTTAACAATAAAATTTAATTCCTTTTTTTCATGACTAAATTATTATTATTATTTTTTTATTAATTTTACTTAACAACAAATAGTTTAGATTGAAAAAATAAAAAATTAAAGTTTAAATAAATAAAATTAAAAACTCAAAATTATTTTGTTACAAGATTCAAACCTTAAAGTTTTTGTATCTTTTTCTTATAATTATTAGGGGATTTTTTTTAAGGTCCATAGTATTAAGATTTTATAGCATAAAAGACACTCAATATTTTCATAATGTCTAAAATCCCTCAACATCGATCGAGAGAAAATTATTTAGAGAACATTCGATCCAGGGAATTTCTCTGGACAAATCACAAAGAAAATTCTAAATTTCTCTAGACACATCACAGAGAAAATTTCAAATTTCTCTGGACACATCATAGAAAAAATCTCACCAGAGAATTTCTCTAGATTCAACCCAGAGAAATTTCCCTCTCCACCCAAGAGAAATTTACTCAACCCCAGAGAAAATCCCCTTTAACCAGAGAAATTCACTTGTGTTGTCTGCAGTTTGATGGCTTCAGCGATTTGGATGCATATTCACAAAGAAAAATTCACCAGAGAATTTCTCTAGATTCAATCCAGAGAAATTCTTCAAAACCAGAGAAATTTTCTACATCACAAAAAAAAAAAAAAAAACCACAACCCGAAAACAATGGCTTGAATTATTGAATGTCTCTGCAACTCTCTGCATCATCCATTCATCCATCAATCCCAAAAACCCAACTCAGTCAAATCTACAATAAACCAACTTAATGCCCTTTTCCTCTCTTCTTTCCTTTCTACACAACAACCATCATCCCACAATCTCTCTCTCTCTCTCTCTCTCTCTCTCTCTGTGGAGTTTGGACCTCTAACCATGGTAAACCAGTAGCACAAGCACTTTCTTTCAGCAATTCACTCTTCCTTCAAAGATATATCTCATTGAATTGTAAATGCCTTTGTATGCATTCATTATATGAAATTTCTTATTTGCATCTTCTGCTGCTATCTTCAAAATTAGAAATGCTAATTTATTTGGGCTGCATTCTATCTTTATGATTATGGGACCGTTTGTTTTGTAAGAAAATCAAGGAAAATGATCTTAATTTTCTCATCTTGCTAATTTCTGTTTCTGGGTTCTAATCAATGAAACAACCAACTCTTCAAATAACCCTAATGATTTTATCAGGTTCCTTTTTAATTCTGTTTTAGGTCCTTGAAATTTCTCTGGACACTTCAACCCAAATAAATTCTTTAAAACCAGAGAAATTCACTCAAACCCAGAGAAAATCTCCTTCCAACACAGAGAAATTCACTCAAACCAAAGAAAATCCCCTTCTTTAACCCAGAGAAATTCCCCCTCATAATCTTTTCTGGTTGAAAATCATAAACCTTAGGCAAAATGTGTTCAATGGTTCACAAGAACAAAATAAATAAATAAATCGATCAGAATAAAATACTAATAAGTCGGAGAAAACTCATTCAATTGTTTACAAGAAAAATAAATAATAGAAATTACGTACAAGAAATTTACTAGGCAAGTCAAGAGACAATAACAAAGCATCGTCCATGTGAAGGTCCCCAAGCTCCAACCATCTCACAGTGTCATCTCCTTTCTCTTTTGCATTACGAATTTTAGTCTCCACAATTTCTACCACATTCAATTTGGTAACATTCACATCTAAGCCCCCACCAGCAGAATCGTCTACCACTTCTTGTGCATCTAAGTTAAAATCAATATCAACACACATTAATGAAGCCATACTTTCAACCAAACCTGGAACTTGCTCCAACTGTTTACAAGCATCAGAGAGTCTAAACGTCCAGGCATGGTCAAAGAGGAAGACGTGGGAATCCTTGGCCATGAAATCAAAGGTAAGTTCTCCAGTGAAAATCGGCAAACTCGTGGAGATCAATGAATCCATCACCATTGCTATCAATCTTCGACATTACTCATTGGACTTAGATAGAGATAAATCTGGGAAATAAGAGAGGCATGGTGATGGTGATCGGAAAGAAAGAAAAAGAGAGAATCAAATTTCTCTGATCTGATATATGTGTGTGGGTTCAGGGACCTTAAACATCAAAAAATAATATTGTGGATCTCTTCCATTACTAAAAATGAGAGAGGGACATTAGACTAATGTTCCCTAATTATTATAAGAAACATTATATTATTTTTTAAGTATATTTAACATTTGATAATCATAAACAAATATATGCATATATATATATATGGTAGGCAATGTTTATAGTGATAAATCCAAAACAAACACAGAAACACATCGGCCAATACAAAAAATTGCCTGGTGGAATTGATAATTACTAAATACAATAAAATATTGTACTAGGAACTTTTTGAAACAATTTATAAATGTTATCGTAATTTGATCACCATAGTATTTAGTAATCAACTTATTCAGGTGTACAAAGCTGTTGTAGATGAAGAAGAAGTTGCAAAGGATGAGGTTACCTTTGAGGAACCTGTGTTGTAACTCTAGTTTGAAATAGGAGCAGAGTATGTTGCCACTGGCATTTTTGCTGGGAGAATGGGTAATGGAGCTTCAAAATTAAGCACATTAATTACTTGCCTAATTGAAGGTCGGAGATTGTGATTTGGGTGAGCACACCAGAGCCCAACAATCATCAAGCATTCTATTTCTTCTTGAACAAAATTAGGGCATATCTTCGAATCCACTGCCGCTTCAATAAGCCTATTGGAACCATAAAGGTCCCAAACCCACTCCACTAATATCATTTGACTTTCTGGGACCTTGAAATCAATGGGCTTTCTTCCACAAGCTATCTCCAATGCCACAACTCCAAAACTGTAAACATCCAATTCTTTACTAGCTTTGCCTGTCCTCAGATATTCAGGTGCCATGTAACCCCTAGTTCCTGCCAAAACTGTCGTTTTCGAATCTTTTCCGTGGTCGACAAGCCTGGCTAATCCGAAATCCCCAAGTTTGGCATTGAAATTTGAATCTAACATGACATTACTTGATTTTACATCCCTGTGCAACACACACTGCTCCCATTCTTCATGTAGATAAAGCAGTGCCGAGGCCAACCCTTGAGCAATTTTGTACCTCATTGCCCATGTCAACAAGCTTGTTTCTTTGAAGAGATGGTAATCTAAGCTTCCATTTTCCATGAAGTCATAAACAAGTAGGAGTTCTCTTTTCTCATGACACCAACCAATTAGTTGCACCAAATTTCTATGCCTCAACTGACTAATGATCTTCACTTCTGATGTGTACTCCTTTGTTCCTTGTTTTGATCCCTTTGATATCCTCTTCACAGCAATACAAGAGTTGGATTCCTTCAAGAAACCTTTATAAACCTCACCAAATCCTCCCTCTCCAAGTTTTTGTTCCTTGTTGAATTTATTTGTAGCACGAAGCAATTTACTGTATGAAAATTTCTTTGGCCCGGTACCTGCCTCAAAGTCATTGTCCACTGATAGTTCAATGGCAAACTCATCTTCTTCTTTTGCTCTGCTACTTTTCTTCCACAAAACAAAGCCAAGCAGAGTTAATACACAAATCAAAACAGATGAGCCAACAATCAATCCCACCATTGGTGCCTTTTTGTTGTCTTTTCTCGAGATTTGCAGACTTGAATTGAATTGCCATGATTTGATAGTATTTTTCTCAAAACGTGTTCCTGTTGCAGCTGAGAAGCCAATTGTAACCCATTCTGGTAAATACAAGCTCAAATCAACTTGCAAACTAAGGACACTATCAATTCTAGTATTATTTCTAGAACCAGTCAAAACAATGCTAAAATTTTTGGAACGAGAATTATAACTAATCCAAGCTTCATTTTCTATACCAAATCTAATGTCATTGTACCAAACTTCAGTAGCATTAGATATCAAAGAGTTGATATCGATACCTACATGAGTTTCATTCAGCACATCGAACTCTAGATTATGAAAAGTATCAAACTCCACAGCAACAAAATGATTGGTCTCATTTGATGACTGGGCTACGTTTGGAAGGCCAAGAGAACCACCTATTGTCATATTGGGAGTGGAACCATAAGGAACAAGGAAGAATGTGAGCCCATCTGCGAAGAATGAATTTCCTTTTGAATCAATGACGAACATGAAATAGGTGTTGAAGTCCGTCATTTTTCCAGAAGCTTTGTCCCATAGGTGAAGAGGATCTTTATATATGGCTCGACCAGCTTTGTCCACTGGGTTTGCGCCTCGCTCATTTGGGGTGACTTGAATGCCTTCATGGGTGATATAAGCATCTCCTTGCCAAATTATCTCCCCATTTACATATTGACCAATATCGGTCAAGTTAAAGCTCAGTGCAGTTGCATGAAGAGGATAGTAAAGGGTGAAGAAGAAGAAGAAGAGGAAGAGAGAACAAAGAAGAATTCTACTCGATAAGACTAATGGGTTCCAAGACTTGTACGCATCCATTGCCATGGTTGGTTTTGTTGTGAGGAAAATAAATTCTTGAAGAAACTTAAAGTCTGTGATTTGCTTAATCAGTCTTTGTGTACATTAATTGTATGCGACTTTTTTTTTATTTTTTATTTTTTATTTTTTATTTTTAAACTTTATTTGGCAAACTTTGTTTGGCTGACATTTTCTATGTCATAAGAAATTTTGTTTGCACTGATCTGTATTTTAACAAACAGAGAAAACTACGGTTCACGTTGTGGATCGGCAAAGAAGAATTTTCTAATGCTTTTCATACTATGGTGGCAACCCCAAAGCATCAACCCAAACAACAAAGACACAGGCAACCGGCTGAGAATTGTTGAGAGTAAAGATTATGTGATGATGAAAACAAACGATAATTATAATATTCAATTACAAAATTAATTTGACGTTTTGTTCTTGGAAATTACTTAACTTCGTGACCTAAAAGGAAATGCTATATTTGACAGGTACTGGCCAGTTGTGGATTATTTTATATCTGACTTGGTCTAGATTCCAGATCCAATATAATAAGCAAATAAGCGAAAATTATGGGAGCTGGATTCCATCATGTACAGGAGGGTGCTATCTAAACTCGTGGGATCCATTATGAGTTTCGTTTTAATAATTCAAACCGTTCATTTTTTTGATCTTTTGTATATCATCCTCACAAAAAATTAGATTGATACAACAATTGTAAACTATTTAATTTATCGCATTTGTTAATGATAACTGTGTATTTAAAAATAGATCATTTATTAATTTTGGTGACAAACATAATAAATTAATAAGCTACGATTATTGTTTCTTAGGACATAGAATGCGAAAGCTGGATGAGGAATGCCAGTTAGGAACATCACAATACAATTGTCCCAATCTCTAGGTTGGGACATTGATATCCCAAGGTGGAATTTACCAAGTATTAGTTGTTTTAACAAGATCCCAAAGATAGTAATTGGACGGTGCAGGCCTTTAGTAACAACCACAGCATCGGAGCACCCTACAAAATGGACCCAATTAAAATCTTCGGCAGTCGTGGTCCCGGATGGAATGAGAGTAACCACACCATAATGCTGTGTGTCATTCCATATCTAATTATCACCCAATTGATGGTGATGTACCTTACCGCAAGGAGAGGTACAATCTGAAAAGATGAAATTCAAATTCGAAAACTAAACATGAAGCATTGTGACCATTGCATTTTGCATTTTAAGTTTTCATACTCTGCTTTTTGCTTTTTATTGATGTTTTTGTCATACTGCTTTTACTATTTTGATCATCACTAAAATTTCTCTTCGGCCGATAAAAAAAAGTTACACTGAACAGTCGATATGTTGATAACTTTTCAATGTCTAAACGATTAGATGAGGAGTCATAAAAGAATTGATACACTATGAAAATGGCATTGTACTATGCCTAATTGTTAGACTATTGTAAGTTTCATTATTCTTGACAAAGGGAAGTTATTTTTGTTAGTCTACATAATTGAAAATTTTCTAATTAATTTTGTACTTCAGAATGTTCTGTAGTTATGGAAAGAATATTAAAAAAGAAACAGATTGATTAACAGTTGTTCTATCTATAGATATGTACAGAATATTAAAAAAAGAAATAGCTTGAATTACAACATAATTGAAATACAGCTTGATTGACATTCTTTCTAATAACTCTAAATACACAATTAAAAAATATTAATAAAAAAAAGAAGAAGAGATAACTTGAAACAAATGAATCTTAAAGCATTTCAACCAAATGCGTGGTGGAATTGATAATTACTAAATACAATAATATATTGTACTCGAAACTTTTTGAATCAATTCACATACCACTACAAGAATTTACACTTTTGGCAACAAAAAAATTGGTCGCTAAAAGTCAATTTTTGGTCGGCAAAAGTTATCCGCGACCAATTTTTTTGGTCGCTAGTTTGGTCGCCAATTGAGGGTCGGCAAAAGTAATTCCCGACCAAAATTGTGGTTGGTCGGCAAAAGTTGGATTTCGCGACTAAATTTTTAGTCGCTAAATACGTAATTACCGCGACTAATTTATTTTGTCGCCAAAACACTTTGGTCGCCAATTATCACATTCAACGACCAAAAAGTTAGGTCGCCAATCGTGATATTCCGCGACCAAAAATTTTGGTCGCCAATCGTGACATTCCGCGACCAAAATTTGTTTGGTCGCCAAAAGTTGGATTTCGCGACCAAAAAATTTGGTCGCCAATTGTAACATTCTGCGACCAATATTTTTTTGGTCGCCAATCGTGACATTTCGCGACCAAAAAAAATGGTCGCCAATTGTGACATTTTGCGACCAAAATTAGTTTAGTCGCCAATTGTGGCATTTCGCGACCAAAAATTTTGGTCGCCAATTGTGACATTCTGCGACCAAAAAATTTGGGGTCGCCAATTGGGACATTCCGCGACTAATCAATTGGTCGCCAAAACTATAAAAACATAACCAAATTTTGGTCGCCAATATCCAACAAAATAAACCTGTAATTTATAATAATTCATCCAATTTATTCAATATAATCTGTAATTTGCAAAAATCATTCAAACCAACAAATAAATTGAATCATCAACATTCAACAAAATACATATATCAACCATTTCTGAACCTGTTTAATTAAAATCAGCAACTATTATAAGTTTTCATCCACAAATAATTCCAAACTACATATTTCATCTAACATAAAAATTTAAGACATAACAAATACTTGTTATTATGTTTAAAATTTTTATCCATGTACATCAACCGAAAAATATAACTAGTAGTCTACTAAATTTTTGCAGGTACAAAACGACGTCGTTTTTTGATTGGCGACCAAATTTTTTTGGTCGCCAAAAAATTTCATTTCCCCCCTCCTGGTTGTTCAAATTTCCCTCCCAAACTTTTGGCGACCAAAAGACCAAATTAGTCGCAGAAAAAGTACCTTCGCCGACAAACTTTTTTAGTCGCCAAATCTCAATCAACGGCGACTAAAATATTGGTCGCTAAAAATACAAATTTGGCGACTAATTTTTTTTGGTTGCTGAAAATAAATTTTTGGCGACCAAAAATTTGGTCGCCAAAAAATATGTTACCTTCCGTGACCAAATTTGTAGTTAGTCGGGAAAAGTATACCACTTTCTGCGACCAACTCATTTTTTGGTCGCCAAAATATAACCTTCTGCGACCAATAATATTTGGTCGCCAAAAACAATGGTCATTCGCGACTAATTAATATTTAGTCGCCAAATGTCATTTTTTTGCGACTAAAATTTTTTTGGTCGGCAAAAGTGGTCGCCAAATGTGTAAATTCTTGTAGTGTACGGTATCCTAATTTGATCACCATAGTAATTACCAATCAACTTATTCAGGTATACAAAGCTTGCAGATGGAGAAGAAGCTACAAAGGATGAGGTGAACTTCGAGGAACCTATGTTGCGTAAAGGTCGGACTTGGCTGCTAACAGAAACAGAAGTACAACCATAGGTTAAAGAAACCCAAGATAAATCATTCACTTAAGCAGCAGAGTATGTTGCAACAGGCATTTTTGCTAGGAGAATTGGCAATGGAGCTTCAAAATTAAGCACATTAATTGCTTGCCTAATTGAAGGTTAGAGATTGTCATCTGGGTGAGCACACCAGAGCCCAACAATCATCAAGCATTCTATTTCTTCTTGAACAAAATTTGGGCATATCTTTGGATTCACTGCCACTTCAATAAGCCTATTGGAACCATAAAGGTCCCAAACCCACTCTACCAATATCATTTGACTTTCTGGGACCTTAAAGTTAATGGGCTTTCTTCCACAAGCTATCTCCAAATTCCAATACCACAATTCCAAAACTGTAAACATCTAATTCTTTACTGGCTTTGTCAGTCCTAAGATATTCAGGTGACATATAACCCATGGTTCCGACCAAAACTATTGTTTGCGACCCCTTTCCATGGTCGACAAGCCTAGTTAATCCAAAATCCCCAAGTTTGGCATTGAAATTTGAATTTAACATGACATTGCTTGATTTTACATCCCTATGCAACACACATTGTTCCCATTCTTTGTGTAGATAAAGCAATGCCGAGGCCAAGCCTCGAGCAATTTTGTATCTCATTGCCCATGTTAACAAGCTTTTTCTTTGAAAAGATGGTAATCTAAGTCTCCGTTTTCCATGAAGTCATAAACAAGGAGTTCTCTTTTCTCATGACACCAACCAATTAGTTGCACCAAATTTCTATGCCTCAACTGACTAATGATTTTCACTTCTGATGCATACTCTTTTGTTCCTTGTTTTGATCTCTTTGATATCCTCTGCATAGCAACATAAGAGTTGGATTCCTTCAAGAAACCTCTATAAACCTCACCAAATCCTCCCTCTCCAAGTTTATGTTCATTCGTGAAGTTATTTGTAGCACGAAACAATTCACCATATGAAAACTTCTTTGGCCCGGTTCCTGCCTCGAAGTCATTGTCCATGAATACTTCAATACCAAACTCATCTTCTTCGTTTGGTCTACTACTTTTCTTCCACAGGGCAAAGCCACACAAAGCCAACCCACAAACCAAAACAGATGAGGTGACAATCAATCCCACCAGCAGTGCCTTTTTGTTGGATTTGTCTGGAGATTTGCAAACTTGAATTGAATTGCCATGATTTAATAGTGTTTTTCTCATAATGTTTTCCTGTTGCAGTTGAGAAGCCAATTGTAACCCATTGTGGTAAGTACTCTCTCAAATCAACTTGCAAACCAAGGACAGTTTCAATTCTGGTATTATTTTTATGGAACCAGTGAAAACAAGACCAAAATTTTTCAAACTAGAATTATAATTAATCCAAGCTTCATTTTCTATCCCAGATGGTATGTCATTGTGCCATACTTTACTTCCATTAGATATGAGAGAGTTGATATCAATACCTACATGAGTTTCATTGAGCACGTCGTATTGCGGATTATGATGAATATTAAACTCTACAGCAACAAAATGATTGAAGGCCAAGGTAACCACCTATTCTCATATTAGGTGCGAAACCATAAGGAACAAGGAAGAAAGTGAGCCCATCTG